ATCCTTTCATTGGAGGTGTGATATAGAATGATAGGTTTCTTTTTTGTGAGTGTAAAACAAATATACCAGTTCGAAGAACTACGTACTGTTTGAATGCAATAGGTTCGATGAAAACTGTATTAAAATATTCACTCTTATGCAGGAAAAGATGCTTCTTTATTAGAACAAAAAGCAAAGCAATCGCTCGTCTTTTTTGTGAGCAGGAACTAAAAGAAATCACCATGTTAATTTAGGTTACTGTATGGCGAGTTAAAAATGAATCAAATCATCTATAAATATTATATAGACATCACCATTTTAAGAAGCCTAACTGCATGTCTGGTTTGCTAACCCAAGTTGTACTGATGAGCCTTAAATAGGCGAAACTATAGTCAAAGTAGAGGTTATGGCCAGTCAAAGAAAGCATTAGATCTCTACGTCAAAGAATATATTTTCAATCTTACCTTTGGTGTAAAGAAAAGAAATCTATAATATAATCATTGAACAATTCGTTCGTTGTATAATGTCTAATAATTAATTAGGCGGAATGCCATAATATTATTCACATACCTAAATTAACTGATGATAAAATAAATGGGAACTCAAAAACCCCATGAATGTTAGACAGTACGAAGACCTTAGGTTTGAGAATGATAATGTCTAATGATAAAAGATTGTGATACAATTTCTATTAATGGCTGGAGGTACCTGATGATGACAAAACCTTGTCGAAACGTTGTACATTTGCTGTTATATTAAAGTTTTTCTTCATTACCCATTCAAGCCGTCTCCAGCCATTATTAGTCTCAAAGTGGGTTCCTCGTCATCGAATTTAAATACAATTTCTATGTCTTATTTTACACTTTTTTGCAAGCAGGTGTATATTGTTTTAAATTTATTGTGGAATAACGTATGTACTGTTTGGATGTCTTAATATAAATGTTCTGATGTCAGCAGTTTCAGTTCTGCCAGAAACATCAGAAGTGATGAATTATTCATGTTATCTTGACAGCTTGAAAGCCTGAAAGTAGTTACAAATGAAGTGCTGATATTACTGTTATTAATACTTGTCTGAACACGTATGTTCACCTTGTATCTACCAATCACACTTTCTGTTTCTCACCCGAAATTCCACAAGATGCTTGGTGTCCTTCTAGAAAGTGCAGACTTATTAACGTGCATGATGTGTACTTACATATTGTTTACATAAATATGAAACAGGAACAAAGGTTCGTACGTGACCCTTAAAATATTATAACACTCCAAATCAATCACAAAACGCTCCACAGTTATTCACTAAAGTAACAAATTAAGTAAGTATTAAAAGTTTGTCTTACAAAACTGAAAACATATGTTTTAAAGTATTTATTCTATTTATGTGGGAGTTACAGATTTTTTATGTGTTTAATTTTGTTCTCACTGTCTAAATAACGCTTACTGGGCTGGGTGTAGTATGGTTGTTAGAGCGTGCCCGGATTGTGGATCCGAGCTTGCACTTTGGTGTTTTAAGTTTTCTATATAAGTGATGATGACATGCTAATATCAGTCAGACAAGAGTTTTTGTTCACTCGCTGCCTTCTTTCCAGTCTTTCAGTTCAAAGTTAGTGATGGCTAACCCTTTATGTAGCTTGCACGAAACGAGCAAGATATACCTGCTTATTTTTCATATTTTGTTAGATGAACTTTTAATATCATTATGAAGGTTTTATTAATACTAGGATATTCGTTGAACCTCATTCTACCCATTCCAGTTTCGACAAACAACATAGTATCCCCCCCCCCACTGGTTCAGCGTAAAAACCAGGTTTTGATGCCCGTGGTGGGGGCTCAGTACATATAACTCTTTGTGTAGCTTTGTGTTTGACCACAAACAAACAAATAGACACAATATATGTATGATGATTTTTATATTTACTTACAAATTTGAAAATGTTTCAAAGATCTCGAATCTGTCTTTTACCTCACAGTCTTGTTTATATACAACTTTTTTTTTAAAGATTTGACCATGTTATGTTCCTTTACAAACATGTTTGTCGTTTAGTAACTTACTACTAAAGAAGATCCATGGCCTCCATTCTCTATGATTCACTCCAACCTACTTCTTATTTTTGACTTAATTCGTCAGATTCCCATAACTGGTGATTATATGAGACAACTCGTAACTTGATTACTTGAAAAAGATACTGACGAACAGTTGGATTAAAAAAATCCATATATATAACATTTTGCTCAGTGTCTTGTAATAAATGAACGTTTAACTTTTATTAAATAACACACTTCATAACTTTCTAGACCGAACATTTGAAGGTGGCGCTGCAGGTATAAGCGTGACAGCTCAATTAAAATGGTCATTAAGAGAGAAATATTATTCGACAGAAAAAGTAAAAGATCAGGTTACAGATTTTACATTTTATTTCGATTTACAAGCGCGTTTGTGATGACAGGGATAATCGTGAGGTCCCTTTTTCTTTTATTCAGATCAGCAATTTCTTCCTGCCAGAAACAAGGATGTGATTAGCAAGCATCACATGAGCGTCATAAATTGTTAATATTATGTGTATACGATTAGTGAGTTAACAGAATAAGAGCCCGAATTAATTGGGAATAAAATGATGATGAAACTGATATCAATATATATATTACAACACCTGCTCAATATGACCTTATTAACGGCACTTTCTCTTTTTTACAGAAATTCCTTTGGTTACTTTTAGAATTTGTGATTGTAAACTTACTTTTTTTACATCAAATCACCGAAATTTTCCTTTCTCGTAAGCCATTATATTACTCACAATGCTAAAATCCGGAGTTTGATTCCCCGCGGTGGACACAGCAGATAGCCAAATGTGGTTTTGCTCTAAAAAAACAACCATTAACTTAACTTTTATAAATATTACTTTAACTTGAGTTGTTGGTCTGTTGAATATGTAATATGTTTCCCCAAAGATAAGTCACTTCATTATGCTTATAAATTGTTGTTTGCCAACTTATTATTACATTATCATAATGTGCTTCCATATTCAAGTGTGCTACATTTTATTTATTTCTTCCAAACATTGCACACAGAGAAATGTGGAATGTTTAATAGATGGATGTAGGCATTCATTCCCAGATATCTCCAATAGATGGATGAAGGCATTCATTCCCAGACAGTTCCATCCGTTGATTGGAGTTATTGACAATAGTTCTCTATATAAAAAAAGCACGTTTCGCACGCTATATGCAAGCGTGTATACAAAACGTTGGAAATAACGTTCAACAGCCAATAGCTTGCATGAAAAATCTATTGGGCATTGCCCTCTGCCAGTAATACACATGAAAAAGTAAAATAAAATGGTTATATATTTATCTGATTAAATGGAAATTTATAGCATTAAACATTTTACTTTGATACTTTTAAGAAAAGAAATCAAATC